ATCTAGATAGACGGTTTCATCCAGGTACTGTGGGAGCTGTCACGCAACCACACTCTCAACAATCTTCACAATAAAGCAAAGGTTGGCGACCAGATGGTAGTTTGCCAGAACAGCCGGATCCAGAGAAGGCTTCTTGAGGAGGGGCCTCACCACCGCCTCTTTCAAGGCGGGAGGCAAGAAACCCTCTCTCAAAGAAGCATTTATAATCCTCTGGAGCCAGCCTCGTGTTACCTCCCGGGTGGCCAGTACCAGCCAGGAGGGACACGGGTCCAATAAACATGTGGTTGCGTTTAACCTCCCCAGGATCCTGTCCATGTCCTCAGGAGTCACAGGGTCGAACTCATCCCAGATAACATTCTCAAGACCGGCCTCAGTCACCTCGCCGGGATCTTCCCAGTCAGAGTCCAAGCCTTCCCGAATCTGAGTGATTTTATCATGCAGATACTGTGCAAAATCCTCAGCCTGCCCTTGCAAGGGGTCCTCCCGCGCTCTCTAGTGTAGGAGGGAGCGAGTCATCCTAAACAAGGCGGCTGGGCGGTTATCTGCCGATGCAATAAGAGCGGAAAAGTAATTACACTTTGCCACTTTTATCGCCACTAAATAGGTCTTCATATGAGACCTAACTAGTGTTCGGTCGGATTCGGAGCGACTAGCCCTCCAACCACTCTCTAGGCTTCTTTTCCGGTGCTTCATCTCCCTCAGCTCCTCGGAGAACCAAGGGGCCGGGCAGGTTCGGCGCCAGGTCAGAGGCCGCAAAGGCACGACTCGGTCCAGAGCACCGGCGGCCGTCCTGTCCCAGGTGGCCAAGAGGTCTTCAGCCAAGTCGTGAGCCAGAGTTTCAGGAACTGGCCCAAGCTCCCTCTGGAACCTATCAGGATCCATCAGGCACCTGGGGCGGAACCACCTGGTCGGTTCCACCTCCCTGCGGTGGGGTGCAGCGGTCAAAAAGTCCAGCCTCAGGAGAGAATGGTCTGACCATGACAGGGGTTCAATAACTATATCCCCTATATCCAGTCCACTCAGCCACTGACCAGAGACAAAAACCAAGTCCAGAGTGTGTCCTCCTGTGTGGGTAGGGCCAAGAATTAGTTGTGTCAGGTCCATGGCTGTCATGGAAGCCATAAACTCCCAAGCCATCCCAGACGCCTCACTGGCAGACAGCAGGTTGAAATCCCTCTTGACCAAAAGTCTGGGGGTATCAACCGCCACCCTGGCAATAACGTTGAGAAGCTTGGGCAGGGCCGCTATCACGTGGCAGGGAGCCAGGTACGTGATCAGCAGGCCCACCTGCATCCCATGGCCCCACTTCACCAGGAGAGACTCACATCCGGCTATCTGAGGTACAGTGGCCTCCCTCAAATCAAGACCTTCCTTTATAATGATCGCCACCCACCCACCCCTGCCCTGGGCCCTTGGCTGATGGAATGCGCAGAAACCTGGCGGGCACATCTCTACGAGGGGAACCCCCCCTCTTGGCCCAACCAGGTCTCTGTAATACCCGCCAGGTCCGCACCCCCCTCCTGAATTAGCTCGCAAATGAGGGGGGCCTTATTAACCACGGACCTGGCGTTGCACAACATCAGCCTAAGGCCTGGGCTCTGCAACTCTGGACAGCCCGGGGAACAAGAAGAGTCATGGGGGCTGAGGCACGCCACCGCTTGGAGATAGCGGGTGCGTGCCCCCACATGTGGCCCCCTACTCCCGCCATATCTGCCCCTCCCAACCACGGTCCTGATAGAATTCATCAATCATCAATCCATCATCAATTCATCAATATATGAATTAATCAATCCATTAATTTGTAATGCAAGTTTAAATTTTATTTAACTTTTAAATAAAAACACATAAATAACAAAATTAATTTTGATATATTGTATCTAACCTCGAAAGTTGTATTTGTGTGCTTCTACACATAGTATTTCAAGATATTAGACCATAATTATATGCATATTCAACAGCTATGGTTTACAATCACAATTATAGTGTGAAAAACAGCATTAAAATAATTTTATATATATTTCTCCATTAACACACATCTAAATTTAAGCAAGTCATATGGTGCTTATGATGGAATGGTGCTTAAGATTGTTGGCACCAGCAAGCATTATCTATGAATCAGGTTATAATAGAGATATATAATTTTATTAAGTGCCTAGTAATTCTTTGTACTCTTTGTATAGTGAGATGCCATTAAGCTTAGCTCTTGAAAAACCTGTAGTATCCTTTTACTTTATTTATTTATTCATTCATTTATTGGCTTAATATGACTATCCAATTTGAACATTGCAAGTCAGGTAGTTAACAACAAAGCAAAGAAAAACAAACAAGAATTATTTTTTTAATGGAGAACTTTACAATCAGCATGAACCATTTATGAAAATTATTCTACATAACATTTTTTGCGCACAGAAGAAACTGCCCATTTTGCTGGCAAAACTCAACAAGATATACAGTTAGTCCTTGACTTATGACCACAACTGAGCCCGATTTTTGTTGCTAAACAAGACAATTTTTAAGTGTGTTTGTCCCATTTTATGAACTTTCTTGCCATAATTGTTAAGTGAATAACTGCAATTGTTAAGTTAGTAACATGGTTGTTAAAAGATTCTCCCTTCCCCATTGACTTTGCTGTCAGAAAGTTGCAAAAGTTGATCACATGACCCTGGGACACTGCAATCAAATATATGCCAGTTGCCAAGCATCTAAATTTTGATCATGTGGCACAGGGAAGCTGCAATGGTTGTGTGAAAAATGATGAGACACTTTTTTTACTGCTGTTGTAACTTTAAATGGTCACTAAAAGAATGGTTATAACTCAAAGACTACCCGTAGAAGCAAATTAACATTTTGTTCTGTGGATATGTTACATTGAACCTGTTGACAATATCTAAGTAATTTTAACTTATGATACATATTGTTCTTTATAACTTATTTTAGAGGTAGAATAAACATTGTGTCAATATGAGATTTTTATTATCAAGTACAATAATTTTTTGCAGCTAGTCCATTATATGGCATTATATGCTCCATGGCATAGGACCTGGATACCTTCGAGACCGTCTGCTGCCACCAACGACCTCCCACCGACTGGTGCGCTCCCACAGAGAGGGCCTCCTCAGGGTGCCATTGGCCAAGCAATGTAGACTGGTGGCCCCCAGGCCCCCTGCTCTCTGGAATCAACTGCCCCCAGAGATACGAAGAATTCAAGACCTCGGTGCCTTCCGCCGTGCCCTGAAGACCTTCCTTTTTCAGCAAGTCAGGCTGGCTTAATGCTTTTTAAATGTTTTTAATATGTTTTGTTACTGCTTTTTAATTTTGGGGCCAGATTTATATATATCTTTTTAAATTGTTTTTAATGTTTGTATTTATGTTTTTTACTTTGGCTGTACACCGCCCTGAGTCCTTCGGGAGAAGGGCGGCCTATAAATTTGATAATAAATAAATAAATAAATAAACATATCTTGCAGAAAAGGCATGCTCTAGGTCTTGTGCATTGCAGTGTGTTATTCGGTGAGACCCAGGAAGAGATTCTTTTCTATTGTAGGCCCATTGTCTGGAATATTATCCCCCAGGAGATTAAATTTGCTGCAATTCTGAGGCATGTCATAAGGTCTTGAAGACATCGTCTTGTTACTAAGCCTGGGACCAAGGTGGATGATTGAACCCTTATCATGATTGTGTTAATTATTGTTGGTTTTTATCTCAGTTGTTGAATATATTATTAGTTTGTACTGTTATCTTATATGTAAGCATTGCTGGCTCTCCAGAGTCATATATTGGAAATGGATAACTGTAAATTGAATGAATAAATAAGTATTTGCTTGAAAGTAACTCGTTAGGTGATTGCCTCTTACCCTTTTTAGCTGCTTAGAAAGCTCTCTAATATTTAATTGGGATATGTAGCATAACAGCTTTTTCATTTTTTAAAAGATCAAAAACAAATGAGTTAGTCTCTGATTTTCTGCATGGGATGGCTATGCCCTTGACACTTACGAACTATTAAATAATTACTACAGAAACATCCATAGGAGATTTCTAAAATAAAAGGCAAGTCAATCAATAATATAACAAAAAGACAGAAAAAGCATTTTCAGCGGCAGCTAACAATTATTCTAAGAGCTTGCCCAAAAAACATATCCAAGTCCCCCCCAAAGCCCCCCAAAGTGGGGGAACAAAGAGGGGGAATTAATTTGCCAGAATTCTCCTTGGTACTTTTTAGCTCCAGATTTCACTTTTATTCTAAAAGGTCAGTGGGTCTAAGAGATACTTAAAATTCTGAAGATCAAACAGCACTTCCAATTGCAGCCCTCCCTTCTCCCTAGGAAGACATCAATACAACTATTTACTTGAGACTAAAGAACTCCAGGTTGCCCCCTGCCCGCTTTTGCAGGCTTGAAAGGCTACCTAGAATCCTAGGTTACCAGAGCATAATCTGACCAGGAGTGGATAACTAAGAGACTCATGTCCAGAAGTGAGTACAATTCCTTCTAGGTAATCCTTTGGGGCTTATTTATTTGAATAATTCCACACTTGGCATTTCGTTTCCTGAGGCAGACAGCACTTGAGCTGCTAAGAACCACGGCGAGCCGATTAGGTGCTCCTTTCTTTCCGTAACATTCACTTTCCTCCCCTCATCCTTTACCCAAATAACCTCCTAGGATATTATTTTTAGCCTGTGTAGCAATGCTTGAGAACCACGAACATTAAGAATCCTTTTTATGATGTAGTTCTCGGGCGCACCGTTTCTTTTTTGATCGAATTTTCTCTCGTGTAAATCCAAAGAAAGACAAAGGCCAGCTCTGAAAGAATTGGCAAACGTGCTAATCCTTCTTCCCACCTCACCGGAGCTGGGAGAAGGACTCCGGTATTTACCTAACTTTTTTCAGGTTTACAGTTGCAAATCCACCTCCTAAAGGCGACGCGTCAAAGGAAAAAGGGGGGCAGGAGGGAACCTCGAGTTCTCTACTGTCAATCCAAATCAACCCCGCGGCTGTAAATGAGCCACGTGGAGTCTTTGCTCTGGAGGTGACTTCCTGCTTAGCTTCAACAAGCTGGCCTGAAAGATTAGCAAGGAAAGCAGAAGGAACGACAGATACAGAATATTCAAAGAGAATCAGGGGAATAAAAAACAAAACGAAACAGGCACAGCGTATTAGGAAAGAGGAGCCAAAAAAAAAAAAAAAAAAACTTTGTGATTTTACAGGGAGGAAGCGGGTGCGCTGCAAGAGGCCGGGAAGGAGAGGTGGTAACAATTGGAGAAAATTGAGGAAGGCCGAGAAAGGAGGAAAGGAGGAGGAGAAGGAAAAGCGAAGCTGCAGGGGAGGCGACCAAGAGCAAAGCGGAGCTCGGCGCCAGGCGCCTGCCTGTGAGGGGAAAGAGAGGCGGCCGCAGCAGCAGCAGCAGCAAAAGGAGGAGGGAAGGGGAAACACGCAAACCTCGGCGCGCAAGTGAAGAGCAGCAGTCGCCGGGAGGGGGGCGACAGCGGGATCCCGGTGGCGGCGGCGGCGGCTGGGGGAGCCGGTATCGCCGCCGCTAAAGATGCGGCTGAAGCTGGGCTTTCTCTTGCGCGCCGTCCTCCTGGTCGGTTCCTTTCTGGGGCTGCTGCTGCTCTGGTCTTCGCTTTCCCCCCGGGCCGAAGAGCCCAGCCCGGGGGAGAGGATTCGGGTAAGTGGCTACGGCGAAAGGGAAGGGGTGTGTGCCTGCGCGGGGAAAGGCGGAGTGCGGCTCCGCGCACCGGTCGGCGGCCCTCTCCCGCCGGCTGCCTGGGTGTCGGGCCGAAGCCCTCTTTCGCTCTGGGTCCGGCCGAGAGGGGGCGGTGGCGGCGGCTGGTGTTGGTTCTGTTGCCCAGGCTGCGGCCTGTGGCGTTGGCGAGGCCTGGAAAGGACAGTGGCGGCTTTGGAGGGGCTCTGCTACGAGCTGGGGGCTTCCTTTGCCATGGGGAGGCGGTGGGCAGGTGGCCGCCCAGCAGTGGCAGCGGGCGGGCGGCGTTACTTGAGGCAGCCGAACATTGCCTGCTTAAATGCTTTTGCTGATGTTAGATGAAGCGGGACTTTGCCCCTAGCAACCTACTAATATGTCCGGAAGGTGGAAAGGCTGTGAAAAAGGCGTAAGTAATATTGTAGGTTGAAGGGCAGGTGAAAGATGCCTCTTACACCAGATTGTGGAAATAAGAGGCATACTTTAACACAGAATCTTATGACAGGTGCTTCTATCTGAAACAATGACATACAGAGATTCATAAAAGATTTTCTCTTTTTTAATATTTCTGAATATCCTATAGAAAGATACATGCAGTTTAATAATTAGTATCCTTTGGAAACTATTTTTGATCCGTGGGAATGTGCTAGAAATATAATGGAATACTTCTGTCTTTAGCAGTTTGTTTTTCATCTGTATGGTGTTATGAATTTAATATTTCATCCCCTATTATCTCCCTCCAAATCATGTAGTTAGGTTGATTTGATCATCACTTGATTTTTTTATGGTTAAAGATGGACTTGAACCTGAGCCTCCCTATCTCAACACAGAACAAACATTAAAATGTAGGCAGAAAAGAAAATCTTTACCCAGAGGGCTTTGCATAGTATCTCATTTAAACAGTCAACCTACTTGCATGTGTACTGTTACTATACAGGGAACTTGGAGTCCAGCAGGTGGTGCATTTGTGTGCTGCCTTGTACACTTGTAGTCCAATGCTATGCTTTTGAGTTCACTGGAACTTATTTCTAAAAAACAATACATGTAGATGATTAAGTTTCATAAATAAATTATGTGAAACTAATAGTCAATGTCAGAGTGTCTACTTCTTTGTTTACTTAATCCTGCTTCTTTTAGTCCTGCAAAAAAGATGTGCATTTTAAAAATCTTTTTCCAAACCAAAACAGCCTTACTATTAATATTTTTGATTGCTGGTAAAGGTAAAAGGTAGGGTTTTTAATTTTGGTACCAGTTATACTGAAAGTTGGCAAATATGATGATTTGTTCAGGTATTGTAGTTGGATAAAATGTCACTTGTGTCTTTTTGAACTAAGACTCAGTAGTGCATGCATACATTTTCTGTGCTTCTTTAGCTGGCCTTTGTGGCTTAAACATCAGCTGTTTTTGATTACTAGACGGTAAATTATAATTTTTAAAAATTATAATGGCAAAGCTTTGACTGAAATATATGCAACCAGCATAATTAACACATTTAATTTCTAATGGTCTATACACTGATCGATGTTCCATCAATCTTAGGGTTGCTTTCAGCATTGATCATAATTAATTTAAAACATATAGCCGTCTGTCTTATATCAAAATCTGGTTGCTTCCCAATAGTCAATTAAAACAATATCAATAATAAAACAACATAATACATAAATATATTAAAACCATGAATATAAAAATGGCACCAACGTTAAGCTTCCAACATACAATCCTTCATAAAATCTCTTATCCATCTCACCCTATCCCTGTGCTTGGGGGAAAAGCCAGTTTTTCAGTGCTCTTTGGGAGGCTAGGAGGGCAGAGAGACCTGCTGAATTTCAAAAGGAAAGGGTAAATCTAATAATTCGAAAATTATCTCTTATCTGGAATGTATTCATATAGAGGTTTACAATAGAACGGTATAAATACAGGTAGTCCTTGCTTAATGACCATTCATTTAGCAACCATTTAAAATAGGGTGATGTTCCATAAATGGTGCTTATGTCCAGTTTGTCAGCTTTGGAAGCCATATTAGGCCGGAAGCTTCCATGCTGCCACCTTCTCATTGTGGGAAAGTAGGAGGGGAGATTTAGTAGAGGGATTGTCTATAGACATAATAGCATTCTTCCAGTCGGTCAAGGTCAGGGCGATCCTGCATCTGGGGAAGGAGTGATGTCTTGAGATGGGATGGCGGTTGATTGGAGCATGTGATCGACTGAGGAGTGAGAGGATGGTTTTGGGGGTTTGGATTTACTGAGGGAAAACCAGGACCTCTCAGATTCGGGTTTTCTCAGATGTGCCAGTTTACCTATTCTAGTAAATAGAACTTTGAAAAATGCTTGCTTCAGAGTCTTTACTTGGAATTGGGATTTTTTCTGGAATACTGACACAGTTGTTGCAGCAACCCCACCATCATGTGATCAAAATTTGTAACCCATGCTTAAAATTGCCCACCTATCTTCCCCATCTCTCTTCTTTTGATTGCCCTGCACAGTAATGCTCATCTGCAGCAGTGCTGGGGTTGAAGTAGAGGCACCAGGGTGATTGGCTGAGACTGCTGAAGGATCAGGCCTCTACTTTAGCTTAAGTGTCACTGCCGCTAAGAATTCTATTGTCCGAAGGAGTCAAAAGGGCAGAGATGGGGGAGGTAAGTGGGTGGGGGAAGCTGAAAAGGGAGCAGTCCCTTACCTTACTGATGAGGTTTGGAGCTGGGAGGGAGCAAGTTGGAATGACTTGGATCAGGTTGGGTCCTGGCTAATGACTGATGGGGTTTGGTTAAGACAAAGGGATTGCATCGCTAACCAGTGTAATTACATGATGTCAGACTTTTATGGTCCCAATTGCTGTCATAACTTGAGATCACCCATAGCACGATTTGTTTCTTTCCAATTGAGTCCTTGGCAGTTCTTTTTAAGAAGTAATTAAAATTTACATATTGCCTTGATTTAAATCAATCTGATGTCAAAACTATAATAAATACAGTAAGTGTTTCACACTGAGAACCTTCTAAAACAGGGATGTTAGCCAAAATACTAAAGCAATTTGTGTCTAAATTATGTACATATAAAAAAGAAATTTTTAATGAAAATCCAGAAGGTTAACTGCAGCACTTTGACACTATTGTATGTAAACTGGAATCCTTCGACAATATTTTGTGAGGCATGTTACATTTAGTCAGGAGTTGTTCCTGAAATATCAGGAGTAACAAATTCCTTTTTATCAAACATTACTTAGGACAATAAAAAAAGTATAGATGAGCTCCCATATTAATTAGTATAAGGCAGTCTTGCTCTAAAATGAGATTCTAATAAGCTTAAAAATAAGTTACAGTATATATTGTAATTCTTAAACAAAGAATGCTCCTAGACTTAAAATTATTTTAAACAGATTGAATTCATATTTAAACTTAAAATAATGATATACAGCAATGACAATAATGTGCTCCACAAACTTACATTTTTAAAAATTAAAATCTTTGAATAGCAGATACTAACAACCTGCAAATTCCAAAGCCTGTTCTTACATGAGAAGTTGTACAATGTGTTAATGCAATTTATTCCCAAATAAAAAAAAGTAAAGGAAAGAGATAAGTGCATATAATAAATTATTCTTTGATATAAGTTATACATGCACATTCTTATTTTGTTGATATGAATATTGCTTGTGTAGGTACTGCTCCTAGAGTGTGTTTTATGAAAAGCTGCTTCTTCAACCACAAACGGCTTGGAGGACAGTGTTAAATTTTCATATCACACATCTTAAATATCAACTTAAGAGGAAAAGACTCAATCTGTAATTATGCAGACTATATAAAAAAAACCTAATAGCTTACTTTATACTACTGTGTTTCCCCGAAAATAAGACCCTGTCTTATATTTTTTTGAACCCTGAAATAAGCGCTTGGCCTTATTGCCATGCGCTCAAAAGCCCAATTGGGCTTATTATCAGGGGATGTCTTCTTTTGGGGAAAACGGGGTAATTCAGGACAGGAGTCTATCCAGCAAGTGTTGACTAACTTGCTTATCTAAGTATGTTTGTTTCTTGCTTTATTTTTAAATGTGTCAAGTTTATGACAAGTGTACATTCATTCCTGTCACCTGGAACTTGATCTTTTTAATTTGAAGAACAAGTGACCTAACTTGAAATCTGCATGTAAAGCATGCTGAATCTCCACTGAATCTCTTTAAAATAATATCTTTCAATTGCCCCTAAATAAGCAGTAGTCTGTGCTCTTAATGTTTTGCTTGTAAACTCATCTATGATTTGTTACTGGTGTTTTCTTTTCCTGAAGAATAGTATAGATGAGGTGTAAGTAGAACTTCATGAATTTTCAATCCCAAAATAGCATGTAGACCAATTTCTAGAGAAAATTACATATAGTGTTAAATATTCTAGGCCATTGTGCTTTTTGTCCTGTTTTGTACTATGTTAATTAGGCTATTAAAAATAATTGTATCGTTTATCATTTGAAAAAGTGTCACAACACTTTTAATGGAACTAATGGCATAAAAGAAAAAGGTAAGATTCTGAAGAAAACAATTACATCTGTTTTTATAAAAATCAAACATTGTGGGCCGGATTTCATAGATATTACAGGTATTGTGATTTGGGGTGATCTTTTGTGCTATCTTCATTATGCGAAATACAATGCTGAGGAAACAGATAGTGGAAATCAAAGCTTGAATTGCAAAGCAGCATAGTCTTCTGCTTTGCCTAATTTATGGTGCTAACCCCTCTCCATCCATTAAACATGAGCTTTCTAAAAGATACAGTTTGATGATGCTACAGAAAAACTTTTGGATTTTTTTTCAATAATCATAGCTTCAATTCCAAGAAAAAGAATATAGCTAGACAGTGTGTTTAAATAAGCATTCAGTACAATATTGTTGTCTAAAAGTAATTGTTTAGTAGTGAACTATCTGCTTTTGGGGCAGTGGGTCATGAAATTACCGTAGTTAACAAGTAGTTCACTAAAAAAA